CTCTCACTTTCCTTTTTTTTTTTCTCTCTCCCTATGCTTGATATAGTAAATCCTCAATACAGCTTCTCCTCACTTAGCGATGTATTCATTTACCGACGCCTCAGACTTACAACGGGCTCTCTGACCAGTATTCATACCTAAATAGTGTATATTAGAGCTGATTTCCTCTATTCTGTTTCTTTCAATATATAGTACACTACTGTATAAACATTTAAAAATATACCAGAAATGTTATAAATGGTGCATTAAAAATATACCAGAAATGTTATAAATGGTGACATTAAAACAATATCAAAGATGGTTGACACAAACTCACTACCATTATAGTATGCTCCTCACTTAGCGACGAATTCGTTTAATGACGTGGTCTGAGGAACAGAACTCCGTTAAGTGAGGAGAGGCTGTATGACAAACTTCAATTGAATAGATTTTGATTTGAACAGAAAATATCTGGACCACAAAGTTTTTTTTTTTTCTAGAATCCTTCATTATTGTTATGAACCACTGGGAAAATAGATTTTGGAAACAATGGACAAAGTCATTTATTCCAAGACTGTCCATTAATGTTACTATTCAGATTCAATGGATAATTGGCATTACTGGACATAAACGCACACCCATATTAGTCCATTAGTGAGGTTTTATTGTAGCTTCATTATGGTAAGCGAATGTGGCAAACAGAGCAATGCTGACAGTAGTCAGGCAAGGGGCTTTCATTCTATACATGTTCAGAAAATAGAAATCTTCACCACCATTCCAAGATGGTTGCCTGTCTCTAAGAGCTAACCTGTGAATATTTTTCTAATATAAGTGACTCAGTTAAAAGGATATATGTATGTATATGGCATACTTATTGCCACATAAAATTCTAAACAAAATGCATTTTCAATACAGGTGCTCCTCGGCTTATAACGGTTCGACTTATATTTCAACTTTATGATGGTGCAAAAGCAATTAGTTACAGCAATTATTTGTTTATTTACTTATTCAGTAACAGAAGTTATTTACTTACTTACTTAGCATATCTTATTTATATCAAACTTACGATATTTTCAACTTACAGTCGGTTCATCAGAACGTAACCCCATCGTAAGTCGAGGAGCACCTGTATAGCAAGAGTCTGGGATGTAATCATATTTTTCCCCCACAATATTTCTTCAGGGTGCATAACACATCAGTGAATGAGTGGGGCTTGAACCCATGGCAGGTATGTCCTAAAATTCATAGGCCAGTATGTTAACCACTGGACTAGTTGGGTCTAATAAGATTCATCCAGCTAGGTATACAGTGGACCCCCGGTTCGCGATGCCATCGCTATCCGATAAATCCGGTATGCGATGCATTATATCGCAAAAAATTTGCCTCGGTTCCCGTTACAAAACCCGGTATACACAATTCGTCCAAGACGTGTCCACGTGTGGCCTGAACTGCCCCATGTGTGCCAGTGTTTACAAGCCAGCCAGTGTGCTCGCATCTAAGGATACATTCGGTACATTCCATATTATCACAGTGTTTTTGGTGCTTGTTTCTGCAAAATAAGTCACCATGGGCCCCAAGAAAGCTTCTAGTGCCAACCCTTTGAGACCAAGGGTGCTAATTACTATTGAAATGAAGAAAGAAATAATTGCAAAGTACGGAAGTGGAGTGCGTGTGTCAGAGCTGGCCAAGTTGTATACAAAACCCCAATCAACCATCTCTACTATAGTGACCAGGAAAATGGCAATCAAGGAAGCTGTTGTTGCAAAAGGTGCAACTGTGATTACGAAACAGCGACCGCAAGTGTTAGAAAATGTTGAGAGACTGTTATTGGTGTGGATAAATGAAAAACAGATAGCAGGAGATAGCATCTCTCAAGCGATCATTTGTGAAAAGGCTAGGCAGTTGCATGACGATTTGGTAAAGAAATTGCCTGCAACTAGTGGTGATGTGAGTGAATTTAAGGCCAGCAAAGGTTGGTTTGAAAGATTTAAGAATCGTAGTGGCATACATAGTGTGATTAGGCATGGTGTGGCTGCCAGTTCAGACCAAAAAGCAGCTGAAAAATATGTGAAAGAATTCAAGGATTACATAGACAGTGAAGACTTGAAACCTGAAGAAGTGTTTAATTGCGACAAAACAGGCCTGTTTTGGAAGAAATTGCCAAGCAGGACCTACATTACTCAGGAGGAAAAGGCACTCCCAGGACATAAGCCTATAAAAGACAGGCCAATGCTAGTGGTGATTGCAAAGTGAAGCCTTTATTGGCGTATCACTCAAAAACTCCCAGAGCGTTCAGGCAAAAGAATATCCTCAAGGCTAATTTGTGTGTGCTGTGGAGGGCAAACACTAAGGCATGGGTCACTAGGGACTTATTCTATGACTGGTTACACCATGCATTTGCCCCCAATGTGAAAAATTACCTAACTTGAAAAGAAATTAGACCTTAAGTGCCTCCTGGTATTAGACAATGCCCCTGGTCATCCTACAGACTTGGCAGAGTGACTTTCTGGGGACATGAGCTTCATTAAGGTCAAGTTTTGCCTCCTAATATCACTCCTCTCCTGCAAACCATGGACCAGCAGGTCATTTCCAACTTCAAGAAACTGTACACAAAAGCTATGTTTGAAAGGTGCTTTGAAGTGACCTCAGACACTCTATTGACTCTAAAGGAGTTTTGGAAGGATCACTTTAATGTCCTCAATTGTGTAAACCTTATAGGTAAGGCTTGGGAGGAAGTGACTAAGAGGAACTTGAACTCTGCCTGGAAAAAACTGTAGCCAGAATGTGTAGACAAAAGGGATTTCGAAGGGCTTGAGGCTAACCCTGAGAAGCCTATGCCAGTTGAGGAATCCAATGTAGCATTGGGGAAGTCCTTGGGGTTGGAGGTTAGTGGGGAGGATGTGAAAGAGTTGATGGAGGAGGACAATGACGAACTAACCACTGATGAGCTGCTAGATCATCTTCAACAGCAAGAGGCCAGACCTGAGGAAACTGCTTCGGAGGAGGGGATGGAGAAAGTGAAGAAGTTGCCTACTTCAAAGATTAGGGAAATGTGTGCAAAGTGGTTTGAAGTGCAAAGCTTTTTTGGTGAAAATCACCCTCAGACAGCTACTGCAAGCCGTGTTGGCAACCTGTACAATGACACTGTTGTGAATCACTTTAGGAAAGTCATAAAGGAACGAGTGGTACAGGTCTCTATGGACAGATATGTTGTGCGACAGAAGTCCAGTGACTCTCAAGCTGGTCCTAGTGGCATTAAAAGAAGAAGGGAAGTAACCCCGGAAAAGGACTTGCTACCTCAAGTCCTAATGGAGGGGGATTCCCCTTCTAAACAATAGGTTCGACACTCTCCCCTCCTCCCATCCCATCAATCATCACCAGATCTTCATTAAAGGTAAGTGTCATGTATTCTATTGTTAGTAGAGTACATACTACAAACTGTGCATGCCTTCTTCAGTTTGTGTGCATTAAACTTAATATTTCATGTGGTAAAAGTTTTTTTTTTCATACTTTTGGGTGTCTTGCACGATTAATTTGATTTCCATTATTTCTTATGGGGAAAATTGATTCGCTTTCCGATATTTTTGGTTTACAATGAGCTCTCAGGAACGGATTAATATCGTGAACCGGGGTCCATTGTATTTCTATATATCATACAGATGTTAGCATAGGTCCCACTGTGACCACAAATGCAGTTTTTTTACAGATGAATCCCACACCGGCATGGCTGTGCCATGCTCTGACTCGAGCCCCTTCAAAGCACCCATCATGACTGTATAATTTCACAAAAAGCAGTGGTTTGCAGGAATGTACAGTATAAACATTATACAAGGGTTCACTGTATTTAACAGTGTCATACCTATTATAAATTCCCAGCATTTACACCTAGATAAAAAAAAACTTTTAGTGGATTTAATTATTGGTGCATCAATTTAGCAACTTAAGAAATTTTATTGCACATTTGAATAAAATCAGATATTATGAAACAACTATAATATATACTCTACGATTATCAAGCACTTTTATCTCCATAACAACGGATCATATTCTTATTTGTTGTAACATCAAACTTTAAATTACAACAAACCAATTTTCCTCTAACAAGAAAGATTTTTATCCTAACTTGTTCATCTTTTCACACAACTTCTAAACTTCATACGATGACTACTCAACATACGACTTACAGAATGTAATTAATCCAGGAAAGCATGTTGAGAACATTTGAAAATTTTAGTGTGTCTTGTCCAGTGTGACGCAGGATTCTTTCCTAATTAAAATATTCAATAATGAATTTATTCTCTGAGAATCCTGTACACATTACTGTTCGATATACTATTTAAACAAGTCTAAATTTGTACTGATCTAGAAAATTCATAAATGACTTCTTTTAAACAAATTAATTTGGCACCTGCTACACACTCCTGAATTTGTTAAGTGCTGATAATCAAAGAATTAATAGCCTTTCCTCTAACCACAGCCTAAACCACAATTTTTCCTAAATGAGTATTAGAATATTTGTAGTAACTGGAAGGTTAATAAGGATTACACTAACAAAAAATAAAATACGTAATACATCACACTTTAGTCTATTCATTATTTTTTTACAATTTTATGAAAATGCTTCACAAAATAATTGACTTGATTAGTAAAACAATGTCACTCATTATCTGCATTAAGTAAAATAATCAGAAATCACAAGTACTCTTAATATCACGTTATTATATTGTGTATAACTTTGTTCTTATTATTTCCAATGGCAATTAGTGCTTTACTTTCTTCCACAAAATTCTGCCTGTGACTCTTAGTAAATTTCTAAGTGAGCTAAACCATGATGAATTATAAAAACACCATATCAAGTATATACTGGTATAGATAATTCAATCTGCTATACCTATAAAATCCAAATTTATTTTTATTACTTGAAAAACACATGAATTAAGTATTACTTAGAGGTTAACTTGTAAAACTAAATCAACAAAGAGCAAAAGGTAATAAGTGCATGAAAAATATTTCATACTCACCCTTTGTTTTGGCATTCAAGTATGCTTGATAGCTCGGGGAAGCATGATAGCTTTTCATTGCCTTTTCATATTCAAGCTGTAAAACAAAATCACAAATGCAAGTAGTATACAGTGTATGAAACTGTCATCAAGGTGCTGTGAGTGGCAGAGAGTTAGAGATCTAAAAAAAGGGGGTGATCCCCCAGATTGTGGTGTATATTGTCAGCACACCGTGGCAAAATGAGTAAATCATTAAGAGAAAGAACAAAATGACAAGGAAAGAAGAGGGTTTTGGTGGAGAGACACTAATAAGCAAACTACTTGCTAACCCACAAGTGCATGCATACAGGGCATAGCAACAAGGAGTTAAACAAAGAGAGATGCATGCTTTATACACTGCAACAACTGAAACAATTCAACAAATGGTGATTATCAGCAAATGACATATTAAATCCTACATTAAATCAAACATTTTGAACATCCTGTAGCATACAAGTCTTGATCCCTGTAACCACAATGAGGTGAGTACAATTAGGTGAGTACAATCATTAGTACTGTACCTTCAAAATGGGTGTCTTCATGCCAGCGAAAGGCATCTGATCCAAAGACCTAGAGCTACTTTCTACTTCCCAGATCAAACTAGATTACCTCCCACTTCCTACATACTGTACGACCACTAATTTCTCAGTACTAATATAGTTAAATATATGAAGTATACTCTCTGGGGTTATCTATTATCACTGCACTAAAAATCAAGCCATGATAATACTTTTTATAATAATGATAATGTTTTATTTCTTTGAGCCTTACAAATAACATGGATACATAAAAAGACAGATAGCAAAAAAATTGATAGTGCAGCTATGAAGACTCAAAAAAGTAATGACAGCAAATATTAACAAAATAAGAATGAAGGAAATGAAAATATTAGAGTTATAAGAGAATTGGATCAATTCAGCTGACTTTTAGAAATAAACTACAGTATCCTTTTCCAAACTATGACTGATGTATGATGGATCATACCTACATTATTATTACATTCATGGGTGGAGCACTAAACCCACAAGGGTCAAACATTATTATTATAAGCAACACTAAGAACTAAACCAACAATACAAGGGTCATACAGCACCTGGGGAAATGGAAGGTATTCAAACTTGATTCAAGGAATTGAGAGCACAGGTCCAATTACTTAGATCAAAAGTCCCTCAACAGCATCAAAAAACCTCCCTTGAGGGGTATCAAATCTACAATCAATAGAATTCATCCTTCATACACAATGTTTTATGCATACTTGTTGCATGTTAAAAATAAATTGCAGGAAAATCTTTGTCTATGGATGCAGACAAAAAAAGTAAGATCAAGATTAAACTTCCCAAACCTTTGTCATTACACTAACATGACTTAGTGAATAATGTAAATGTCCTTTAAGTTCAACACTGTTAGGTCTGGCCAGTAACTGGGAGAGTAACTGCAAAAAACAATCTCCTCTTCCATTAAATGAGCAGGGGTAAGCCACAGGCCTCCTGACAGGGTATATCATGCCATAATTACTATGACATAGTACATATGATGGGGAAAAAAAGACATTTTCAACAAAGAAATTATTTAATACATTTCATCCACTGAAGGCTTTACCAAATACAGCAGAGCCCCACTTATACGCAGGTTAGGTTCCAGGCTACTGCCGGAAAGCGGACATTGCCGGAGAGCAGAACACCATTTGTTTCCACTTATAAATGTCAGATAATAAGTTTACACTAACATATATTAAGTTAGCAATAGAACAAGGCAATAAAAAACAACAAAAAGTAAAACACACACACAGTACACTCATTACTTACCCCAAAATATTTGTAGTCTTCATGTAGGGTGAGAAGTGAATATGTAGTGTTGATTGAAAGAAGTTAGGAGTGGTAGGTACGGTAGCCAGTCAAGCCACCCCACGCAATATACTTCAACATTTAAAGAGCTCTAGAGTAATAAAATGCATTTAGTGTACACTCATTACTTACCTTAAAATATTTGAAGTCTTAAAGTAGGGTGAGAGGTGAGTAAATAGATGAAATAAATAAGAGAGAGAGAGAGAGAGGGATGTGGGTGGCCTTACTGTTATGTACAAGGCCAATATTGTCAAAGTATCACACTTGGATCCACTTCGAGGACAGCGAGAAACAAGCTTTTATGCCACAAGACGGGCAGAAAGCAGCAACTTCACTCTGGCTGTACCCTTCTCCAGAACATCACTCCATCTGAGATCATATATACCCAGGATGACTCGAGTATGGAACACATTTGTACAGCATAATGATGTCAACGAGATAAAGTCAGTTGATCAAATGAAAATGCTGGCCCACAGATGGCTCCAACTTCATCCTGTTCCCTACTTGTATGTCTCATAACAATAAAAATGCTTTCAAATGAGCTGATGCAAGTAACAGCTCTTAGCTTCCCAATAAAGTTAGGAATCCTTAACCTGTAAATAGCTTGTCAATAAAGCTAGGGATCCTTAACCTTGTCAAACCCTGTGTAGAGAGAGAGAGAGAGAGAGAGAGAGAGAGAGAGAGGGGAGAGAGAGAGAGAGAGAGAGAGAGAGAGAGTAGAAGAAGAGAGAGAGATGAGAGAGATAGAGAGAGAGAGAGAGAGAGAGAGAGAGAGAGAGAAGAGAGAAGATAGAGATAGAAGATAGATAGAGAAAGGTTCCCCGGGGGGAAAACCCTTTTTTCCGGACACATCCTTAATTCAAAAAGAACACATTTTTCATGGAATAGTACAACCAAGATCACTTTTTTGTTTCTTGTGGGGTATGTAGTAAAGTGGAAAGGTTAAGAGACTTACCACAAACAGAATTTCACATGAAGCTTAGGATATGGGTGATTTCAAAAATATTGCTAAAAGGGGAGGTGGAACTAAAAGAAATTAATAGGAGGGAGGAAAATGGGGGTTCCCGGGGTCAAGGCAGACAAGGTTAACGCGATAACTTTTCCCCCAAACGACAGGTGGGACCACCTCTATTATCAGAGAAGAGACCCTTTGGAAAACTTTTTTGTACCAAAAATGAAAGTTTCCTCCCAAAAGGGGGACCCCGTTCTAGTGCAAAAAAACTGTGTCAAAAACTTCAGTTAAAATAAGGCAAAAAGGTGTCTCCTACTTAAATCCCCCTTGGGAAAAGAAAATGGGGGGGAGAAAGGAGCCAAAAGAGGAGAAAGGGGAAGCTAGAAATTAACCCGATTTTAGAGGGGAGACAGGAAATGGTTTATGGAAAGAGGAAATGTAGTTGTTAAAAAAAGAAGAGAGAGAGAAATCAGAAAAGAAGGAGAAGGAAGTTTGGGGGACAAAAAAGACAAAAGACAGGGGAAAACCCAAAGGACGAAAAGGCCCAGGAAAGGATTGGGACGGAAAAATTCCAAAAGTGGACCAGCCGGAAAAACCAAAGGGGGGGTGGGGAGACGGACAGGGGCGCCCGGGGTGGGACCAGGGAAAGAAAAAAAAGAGGGAAATTCAGGTTTATGCTTCAGGAACCTTTAGGAGACCAGTGTAGCCAAAAGGAACGGAAGACATCCTTTTGGGGATTTTCCCAAAACAAACGGCGGTCCTTGATGGGAATTTACTTAAACCCCTTCTTTTCTACCCCAGCCCAAGAAATTTGGAGTTTTGCCTTTTACCAAGAAAGAAATCCAGCTGTCAAACTACTCTCAAGGGGGCTTACAGCTTAAATAATCAAGTAACATTTCATAAAAAAAACCAAAATTTTTCCTTTGGCCCAAAAGAGGTATTTTGGTGAGAGTAAATGTGGGAGGGTTTTTGGACGGAGGGTTTGAATTTTGGGGGTGAAAGGACTCCAAATAAATTGGGAACCCCAGTTGAAAGAAACCAAGGCAGGGGAAAGGGTTGTTCCCGTTCTCCATCTGTTTTACATTGGGGTTAAAAATTTACACAAATAGCTCCAACCTGATATTGTCCCTTTTGGGTTTCCCTGCCCCCCTTCACTGCGATTCTTCCAGGAAAAACGAGAACTTCCCTCTCTCCCGGGGACCATTATAATTTGTTTTTTCACAGCCTTAAAAGGGGGATTGGGGGTTGCCTTTTCTGTTAATGAAAGGCCAATATTGCCCCAAAATACCAGAGGATCCACTTCGAGGACGCTGAAACAAGCTTTTTATGCCCAAAGAGGGAGAAACCCCAAAACTTACTTGGGAAAACCCCTTTCCAAAACTCACCCCACTGAATCTCTTCCAGGGAGTTGATAGGAAAATTCTACACTTTATTCAACAGAAACATTTAAAAGAAAATGGGGCCCAAGATAGCTTTCATTGTTCCCTACTTGTATGTTATAAAAAATAAAAAGTTTTAAAATGAGTGAATTTGTAGTAACAGTTTAGCTTAAAAAAATTAAGTTAGGAACCCTTTTAAAACCCTGTGGCTGTCAAAAAAACTGGGACTTAAAACCCTTTAAAAAAAGGGGAGGGAAAAAGAGAGAGAAGGGGAGGAAAAGAAAAAGAAGGAAGAAGGGAGGGAGGAAGAAAGGAAAAGGGGGACAAAAGGAGGAGGAAGGGATTTACAAAGGGACCAAGAAGGGGGGAAGGACAAGTTGGGGAAGAGGAGAAGGGAGAAAGAGAAAAAGGAGGAAAGGGGAAGGGGAAAAGGCAGGAAAGAGGGCAAAGAGGAAAAAAAAAGAAGAGGAGAAAAAGACAAAAGGGGGGGAAAAGGAGATAGAGAAAAAAGATAGGGAAAAAAGGAGAAGGAGGAAAAGGGGAGGGAGGAAAAAAGGGAAGAAAGGGAGAAAAGAGGAGGGAGAGGGACAGGGGGGAAAAAGGGGGGGGACAGGGGGGAAACAAACAAGAGGGAAGGAGGGGGCAGAAAGGAAAGGGGGGAGACCAAGGAGAAGGAAGGAACAGAAGGGAAAAACGGGGAAGGGGAAAAGGGGAAAAGGGGGGGGAGAGGAAAACGAACAAAAAAAGGGAAAGAGAGGAAAAAAGAAAAAGAGAAGGAGGAAGGGGAAAAAAGGGAAAAAGGGAAAAAAGGGACAGGGGAAAAGGAGAGGGGAGGGGCATTTGGGAAGAAGGGGAGGGGCAGGAAAAAAAAGAAAAGGGAAAA